GAAATAGTGTTAGAGTTACTGGGCGCGACATTTGCAGAAATTCCTCAAAATTCGGTAACTGCAGCGAGGTTTGGGGAGGTTTTGCTTTTTTTCCTAATGCTCGTGTTAAAAGCACCTCAGCTCCGTCTGCTCATTGTTTTTTAAGTCTGTTTAATTCTGATTGCCAGATTTGTTAGATATGCACCAAGGCGCGCGGTTGGAATCCAGGCAGGCTGGGTACGCTCACGCCTGTGATAAACCTCAGGTTATCGTCGCCATAGGACTGCATCAGATAGTACCTCGCGGTCAGGCATTGGCTGCTTCCCTCGCACTTTGCTGGCCGCCAGGGGAAGACGCCTGGCGCTCAGCGCTGCGGCGCCTCAGACGCGCGAAGACGTTCGGCGGGGTGCTCGGTGCGTGGCACGTCTGCCTGGGGAAAGGCTGGGATTTGCTTTGGCACCCTGTGCCAAGCTGAGCAGCAGCCTACTGGTGAGAACGAAGACGTGCTGGTGGGAGAGGGCGTTGTGAAAGCGATGACGGAGAGGCGTAGGAATCCCAGGGAAAGCTTGGCGTGGTGGAGCAGTCGCCCAGCCGGTGCAGCCTTTCCCTTGCTCTTGCATAAGACGATGTGAGGTGACAAAGAGCTCAACTGTGAATCGTCCTGTTCTGGTGTTAATTACCAGTGACTGCATCGCTTTTGATAGAATTAGAGGAGTGTAAAACCTGCCCACAGTTAAGCCTGATTTTGATCTTAGCAGCTTCAGACAATATAAACGCAAATATCATTTGAGACCAGTTCAAATGTTTTTAACAGTGTTGCTCAAAAAGGAAGAGAGCAGAGTAGTCAGTGGTTGATCAGAACAGGAAAATATGACCTACTTTTCATTTCAAAACCCAGAACACTGACCACAGAGGTCTTATCTGCATGCTTAAGTTTCGCCTGCATTTTCCCTTTGTACTAAACCAGGCAACTGCTGTATCCTCACCTTTATTTGGGAAGGAAAACTCATTCCAAAACATGGTGCACCTGATCCTTATTTGCAGCTAAGTCCTTTTACACTTTCACAGCAGGGAAAGTACAGCTTTTTCCACTTGGATCTACGTATTGCCAAGCAGAGCTTGCTTGGTAGGAAGGGCACATCCTTTATTATGAATGCGGTAGCCAAGAGCAGCCTTTGTCACCCATGCTCAGCCGTGGAGTTATTAAGAGAAGAGCTTCGGACTGTGTTACACAGAGAAAAAGATAAAAATAGGGCGTCTGACGCATGCATCCCATGTCGCACGCCAGGAAACGGAATCGTTATACCACTGGAGTACAGTATTCCAGAGCATGCGTGGAAAATATGCATGGATGTGAACACGCGAGATCTTTCCTAACCAAGAAAAATACTCAGTCCCCCTTTTCCCCCTTCCCATTTTACATCTGTCCTGTTCGCTATTCCCTCTACCTGTTGATATATCCAACAGCCCGGAGTACCGCATGTTTGCCTTTACGGCCAACCCCCCCACCCCCCCCCCCCCCCCCCACACGACGCGGCAGGACCAACACT